CAGAACATCTGCCTGCTTCTGTGCCCCGTGGATCTTCCTCCTGAGCATAGCTGCCTCGCTCTGCCATGTGTCTTCCTATCATCAGATGCACAGCTCCTTTTGCTGGCTTGTGCTGTTTGTCTCTGATTTAGTTGCACTAAAAACCCTCCTGAAGCAGATAGGTCCTGGAAGGGCCTTGCCTGTTGGTGGTGCATTTGTAGTAGCAACTGGCAGATGGATCCTCAGTGCTCTGCGCTGGAAAAGGTACCAGATCCTGCCCTGGTGCTTAATGCTGTTTGCTGGTGGGCAGCCTGGTCGGGGGACGGGATGAAGAGAGGCAAAGAGGACTATTTAAGCCTCCACTTTGCCCCAGTTCTGACAGGCAGCTGGTGTTGTGGTTTCCAACATACATCTGAAGGTGTTTCTGAGAGTGGGAGTCACTGACAGTGGTAAGGAATTAGGGATGAAGTGGACTGGAACTGGTGGCTAAGCTGTCCTCCAGCATGCTTCCACCCCTGGTACTAGCAGTTGCATATGGCAGATGCATGAGGAACTGCCTAAGTGCCAGGGAGATAGCCCATGGGCATGCTTGGGGCTGGAGCTGTCCCTTTTTTGGTTGCTTCACTGCTTGCCAAGAGAAGGTTATCACAAACCTTTCTAAGCAGCTCCTTCTCTCATTAAGTGAGCTCTGGCTCAATGTTGCTTCCCACGGGGCTGCTCCAGGAGGCAGAGATTGGAGAGTCCTGTCTCCTGCAGCCACCACTCACCTTAATCTCATGAAGAGCTCTTATTACCTGAGTCTCTGCTGTTTTGTTTCAGCTAATTAGTGTTGATGAGATCCACTCACTATTAGGCAGTCTCCTGTTCTTCAGCTTCCTGCAGTCCTCATAAAGCTTACCAAACATGGCAAGATATTAAACCTTTCAGGCACCATAGCACATGCACTGCAGTGGCATTTAGAATCCTTGTTAAAGCAGCAGATTCAGCTGATGTCTTTAGGAAGAGCCTTTAGGAACTTCTTCTCTCCTGCTGACAGGCTCCATCTACAACAGAGTTGTGTGGCTAACTATCCTGCCTGATGGAGAGGATCCTAGAATTGCTACTTCAATGAAAGTACAGCCAATCTCTAATGCAGTAAGTTCTGGATTACGTCAGAATTGATACTTCCCTTGGAATTTATGGTCTTGGTGCCCAAAGCTCAGCCACATCTTTGGGCCAGGAGGTTTGCTGCTGTTTGGTGTACAACTATGAAAAGGGCTCAGTTTCATTAAGCTGTGATGAGACCAGTTTCTTTAAAAGGAGAGACTCAATCTGGCACAGAAAGCTGAGGAAGGTGTTTAGAGGGAAGGTAGGACATGGGATAACATTCTGTGTAATTTGAGCATATGGCATTTTCCTGAGACTTTGGCTAATGCTGTCAACTCCTGCAATTTAGTGTGAATCTCCTGTTGTTTGGCTCTGTTTCAAGCTCCTGGTTTTGGCTTAGTGTCATGTCACTCTCCACACAAAATAAGTTCAGTTTTCTGGAGCCCAGAAGGATCCCAGATCAGAAAAGCAAGCCAGCAGCCATGCTAAAGCCAGTCCTCCCTAAAACCAGCCTTCCTATGCAGTTGATTTATTAGCGTTATGCACCTAAATTGCTTAAGCATATTTGGATTTCACAGGCATACACAATGTTAGAAATAGAAGTGCTGAAGCATCTAAAACCTCATGACTCCACAGGGGGTTTTTTGAACTGATGCTGCTATTGTAACTGCAAAAGAGATGTGCCTGTGTCTAGGTCTTTCTCTCCAGGTTCAGTTTTGCCCTTGCCAATGGACTGCAGGACAAATACAGTTTCTTTCAGGCCCATTAGTTTTTATGAATTTGTTCTACTGCCAGCTTATATTTCTTGAAATTCAAGGCGATGAGCTAGCCCTCCTAAAAGAGCTCTGGTGCTTCTCCATGTAGCTGGGTCTGCCTTCTGGATTTTTGGATGGATGCATTCTGTCAGAGAAACAAGGCTCCTGCTCTTTGCTCTTACAGCATCCGGGGGCACAGACCTGGAGCTCAGCAATGGCGTGTAGGAAGCTTTTTAGCTCGTTGAGTTGTTGGGTGGATGTATGAGCTGAGCATCTATGTAAGACGGAGATATAGCCATCCCAATGGCCATGTGGATTTTATTGTACGTGTTTGAATATGGTAAAACTCCAGATACACTGGGGTTCTTGTCTGAAGCAGCAAGGATTATGTGATGCTGTAGTGTTGTGTAGCACCTTGGGCATCCCTTGGCATTGCATGTAGATCAGCACCTATCAGGTCTAGGAAAAGCAAAGGTGATTTTCCTCAACCTTTCCACACTTCCTGTTTGCTCAGTCATGGCTTGCCTCGGATCTCAAGTTGAACCATCTGAAAGCTATGCTCTGGCCCATTGCCCTCCTGTTTCCCTCCTGCACACTGCTGCAATGCACCAACACCTTCTACAGGCGGTGCTTCCCTTCTTGACTGCTTTGCCAGGTTTATGGAGACTGCACTCCTGGTGGTGGGAGCCACCTTGGCATTTGATTCCAAGGTTAAGCCCCACCATTGAGTTCTTGAAGTGTATGCATGAAGTGACAAACTACATAATGTATGTTGTGGAATATAAAGATAAAGCTGTCTCCTTTCACAAACCCTGAGATTTAGGGTAGGAGACTTTCAGTGTGGGAAAGTTTGTTTCTTATAGGAACCAGAAGGTTTTTAGCTCCACCTGCTTCCAACCACCCAGCACAGGAGATGCCAGCCAATGGGTTTACTGGTAAAGCGGTACCCAGAGGGCAGTCCTGCTGAAATAAAGCTTTGAAGAGGGCTACCACTTTACACTGTGCTGGGGGAAAGATTGTTCTTAGGTGTTTCTGAGGCACCAGGGAGAGCAGAATGCTTTAGGTGGCTTTTGTCCCCTTTAGGAGCTTCACTGTGGACGTGCTGGAGTGGAGAAGGGAGGAGGATTGCTTACCATGGAGAAAGTTGTTACCTTTCTACCTCAGCCCGGTGCTGTGCCTGCTTGCTAGGTTCTGGCCAGTGATGCAGCCCTTCTTGCACACTGCTTAAGACTGAAGTTCTGCATTACTGCAGCAGCAACCCCAGGCTCTTCTCCCTGCACAAAGGAGGAAGACTTTGTACGGGTGGCTCCAGTTTGCCTGCGCACTGGGAAAACCAACATCATTTTGGTTCTGTTCCTTTGTGTCGCTGCTAGACTCTGCTTGAGGGCTGCAGTGTGGTGCACAGCACTCTGCCTGTGTTGGACAGCCCTGAAGGTTGGGATGGCAGTCGCAAAGCTGCCAGCGGTGTGCAGGATGAGCCGTGACCCCCATCTCTGACCGAGGTTGCAGGCAGGTGGCTGATTTATGGCCGTGGTGAGATAGGGGTCTCTCAGAGTTAAGCTGTAGGCGAGTTGCCATGGAGACAGGCTAATAAAGCACCAGGCAGCAGCCGGCTCTGACGATGGAAGCCCTGCTACGGGTGCAAGGAGCAGGTGGGTGGAGAGAAGGAGCAGCTGGTATGGTGGGGATGGAGGGTGAGCACCAGGAGAGTGGGACAGGAGTTGGGTTTTTGAGATGGCCCTGCATGCTCTGAGAGGGAAAGGGATGAAGGGAGAAGAGATTCTTCTTCCAGCCCTTTTTGGGAGGAGTATGTCAACATGGTGCTTTTTGGGGTAAGCGGCAGCCTTTGATGAAGGAGCTGGGCCTGTGTGCATCATGGAGCATCTCCTGTTTTTGCATTAGCTACTTGTTTGCTTACTGTATGCAGGTTGGTTTCTTTCTCAGCAGCTCAGAGGGCCTCAGAGAGGATGAGTGGGGGTGTCAGCTTGCAGAGGCCACCCAGTGCAGGACTGGTGCAACAGACCTGTGGCCATGCTCATGGCTAGATTGTTTGTAGAGAAAATGGGACTTGCCCCATGCCAAAGCGTGTGCCTGCATGCAAGAACCACTCTGACTGGAATACTCTCCTAGTGCTGATGAGCCTTCAGCCTCAGAGCAGGTTTCCAGCACCCAACAACTCTGGGGAGCCACATGTCACTGGGTCACATCTCCATCAACACACTGTTTCTGCCCTTTGGTGTTCCTTGGATCAGCGCTGTACCCTGACTGCTGCTATGTAGGAGCTGCAGCTCCCTTGAGTGCTGGATCTGGGTGTCAGCTGGAATGAATGCGGATGGCACAAGCTTGCTTCAAAGAGCTTGGATGTGCAAGACCTGTGCTGCACATCCCTAATCCCGTGATCCAGCCTGTACCTTCAGAAAGGACCATCCAGTCTAAATGCTTCACTAGGCCAGCAGTTATTAAATCTGCAATCCCTCTCAGTGCAAGGGCACTGTAGTATAGATCTAAAACTAAGCACACTTCTATTCTGGCTGGTTGAACAGGGTGGCAGAAGTGAAAGGCTTAGCTAATTATAAGCAAGATATTCCCAGGCTGCTGTACTTCCATTTTGAGAGATTACTCTTCAGTAATATGGTGACAGCCTGAAAGTTTAACCTTGATCATCATAAAAAGGGTTTTGCCTCAATGCCATCTCATTCTGGAGTGTGCCAGAGTTCAGGTAAGCATTTCAACAAGTAAAGGAGAGGGTTTTTTTTTTCAGTAGTATATTTTAAGAAGGATATAAAGCTTTATGATGGAGGGATGCATTAAAAGATAATTGATCACAGGTCTCACATGATGTTTTTATGCCTCTGAAATAGATGGATGTTATCTACAGAGACTGATTTTTAGGGTAGGGCTGTATTCTTCCAAACAGAGCAAAGGTCAAGATGATTCTGGCTGACTATGAGCAGCTATTGATAACATTGCCTTCTCTTTCAGAAAAGGTTTCCTAAAGCAGGGCTTCCTGAGCTGGTTAATGCCTTCTCCCCTGGCCAGAGTCTCAGCTCCCCTGTTGATTACAGTTATCATGTGCTTCTGCTGAAGACCCTTGTGTCTTTATGTCCCTATCCAGATGACAGGAGCACTCTTCACACATAATCTCTATGATTAGTTGGAATCTTCACTTGCTAGGATGAAAGAGGTCCATTTCTTCCGTTAGAATTGGGGCTTCCATTGATATCCCCATTGCAAGGAGGGCTGGCCAGCCCTTAAGGGGCACAAATCATGCAAGGCTTTGGAGCCTTTCCAGGAGGAGTGGTGTCTGTGACTTGGCTGGTAGAGATTCTGATTACTGCTGCTTGGTTGGCTGGTGGTAGACCTTGCTGTGGGGCACAGGTTCCTGCTCTGCCAAGGGTCTGAGTGTGATATGACCTGGATCCAGTGCATCTGGAAGGATGAGAGGGGTGCAGTGTGCACATCCACTGACCTCCTTCTCACTTATAGTGGCTTTAGGTGGGGTACCTTTTGCAGTGCTGACAGCTGTCACTGCTCATGTGACAACATCCTTCAGTTTGTGCTTCTTTCTGTCTCTGAGAGGGAAAGGGGTGAAGGGAGGAGAGATTCCCCTTCCAGCCCTTTTGGGGAGGAGTGTGTCAACATGATGCTCCTCGGGGTAAGCAGCAGCCTTTCTGTCTGACCCCAGTTATGGCCACTTCCCCCCTTTTACAAAGGGAGTCTACTACATGTTATGGCTGCAAAGGGAGGAATTTTGTATAATTTTGGACTTGTTAGGAAAACTTTTTCAATAAAGAGCTTCATGCCCAAGACTATTTCAGGCTGCTGGCAGTGGCAGAGGAGACCTCTCAGAGAGCCAAGAAGGCATCTGGGAGTGGAGTGAGCTATGCTGTTCCTGGGGAAGTCTGTATTGCTGTTGCTTATGGATGAACAGGCCTCAAGAGAACCACATTCTCTGTTGCCTGAGACTATTGTTAGCGCTACTTAAACCTATAAATCTTGGAATGTTCTTCAATATGAGCCATTTAGGTCTTGAGTCACTTGTCTCCGGATACGCTTGTCTTGCTGATTGTGTTTCATGACTCTTCTACCCAAGGCAGCTCTTGCCAACAGCTGAGTCAGATTGGAAAGGAGGAAGAACAAGCATGAGGGCCTCCTCTGCTCTGATCCTATAGGGAATCAATGCTCCTGAGTTATCAGGGTCCTGTGCGTTGCCCTACCCCTGGGAATGGTTCACAGCAGTGTTTTCCCATGGAGTGTCACTTCCCCATGGGAAGGTCGTAGCTCAGGTCTTCAGGACTCTTACTTCTCTGTGTGTTGGGCCTCCTGCTGCGCTCTCTCCTGTTCCCTTGCCAACACTTATTTACAAGCATATAAATTAGGAACAGAAGGAGATGTGCTGTGGAAGAAACTCTGAAGTAAGCAGAAACTTGGTGTCAATAAGTATGGCTGGCTTTTGTTGTTCCCTGGACTCTTCTGTGTGCTTTGAGTGGGAGATGGGACTCGATGATCTGAAATCTCTTCCAATGTGAATTTTCCTATGTTTTCCCACAACTGTGAAGGAAAAAATATAAAGGTCCTTTACTGGCTGCACATATATCTCACTCTTCTCTTGAGTAATGCTTTAGATTCTCCTGGGAAGCAAGGATTGGGCTATGGAAATGCAGAGAACTGATACTTGGACTGGATTTAACTGTTTACGTGCTCTCCTTCAGATTCTTGCCACAACATTTTTAGTGCTCAAAGGTATTTTTGAGAAGGGAGTGATACTTATGGTTATCATCCTTCCTCATCCCAGACCCTCACTGGCAGAGCAGTGGTTATGTGCCACAAAGTCACAGCTGCGGCTGAGTCCTGCAGAGTGTTCCACAAGGAGAGCTCTGCAGGGACAATATATTTTGAGTGCGCCTTACTGTCAGCTGTTGTCTGCCCAGCTTCAGCTGTGGGGCTCTGCAGAGCCTCCTGATCCCATCTGGCTCTGGCCGGTGCGTCCTGCATTGCTTTGTCTGGCATCGCGCTTCCTCTGGGATCCCCTCACCGCCACTTCGTCCTTGCTTTTACTGCCTACTCCTCGGAGCATCTGAACCTGTCTTCCTCCTCCCGCCCTTCCTCTGCGTTTGTTTTCCTCTGCGCGCCGTTTTATTGCAATATAAATCTCCTGGCAATTCCAAGTTGCAGTCCCAACTTTCCTGCCAGGATTTGGGCCTTGCGGGGACGAGGTAGCAGCCTGATAGGGTTCGGGGTACAGCACCCTTCGGGGTGCCGGCTGCCTCCTTGCAGAGCCTCAGCGCCTCGGGGAGCGCCCACACTTCAACAGGTAGGTGCTGTGAGCAGCCCGCTGTGCTCCGCTCGTCCGGCGCTACGGAAAGGATGCTGGGCTTCAGCGGAGGGCTGTGACATCGCTTGGGGCAGGGAGGGCGGCGGGGTAAGGGAGCTGCCTCCCGCTCCGATCAGCGCAAAGCGGGTGGTTAAACCCTCCTCCGGGCCGCGGGGAGGAGGAGGAGGAGGAGGAAGGCGGGGGGATGCTGCTTCCCTCCCTCCCTCTCTCCCTCCCTCGCCGCGGCCGGAGGATCGCGCAGGCGGCGGCTGGCAGCCCGGGCACGGCGGGCTCGGGGCCGCGGAGCGGTGCGGGCTCCGGCCCCCCCCTCCCCCCCCCGTCTGGGGCAGCCGGCGCAGCGGTGAGTGCTCCGCGGGGGTCCCCGTTTTGTTGGGTGGGTATTCCTCGCCGGGCGTGGAGATGGGCGTGCGGGGAGGGGCTGCACCCCCGGCTATTGTCTGTCGGCCGGTGAGCGGTGGGGGGAGAAAGGAAGAGGACGGGGCGTTGAGAGGGAGCATCCTTGATGCCGCAGCAACTCCGGAGCACGTTCGTCCGGAGCAGAGCGGCAGCCCGAGCTGTGCGGGGGACCCCCGGCCCGGCCCACCCGTGCGGGGAACGGGGAGAGAGCAAATGCCTGAAAGAGAACGAGATGAGCCCGGGTCCTGGAGCCGGACGGCATATACAGGGGAAGGGCTGAACAGAGAGAACAGCGTAGTAAAGCAAAGTCAAATTTCCCCCTGAATCCCATAGCCAGGCCTAATGGACATCGATGCTGAGTTGGGATTGGGATGAGGAAGAAAGGGAAGGAGTGGGGTGGTCTCTGAGAACACTATAGGAGGGAAGGGAAAAAGGCTCCAGATCCTCCTCCTGCAAATTAATGGGACTGAGATATGGATCATTTAAAAGGAGCAGCGTAATGCAATTATACATTAGACAGTTCTCACTGCAACGTTTATCCATTGTTCCCTGCTTTGCCTTCTGCCAGAATGATTCTGGTCTGGACGAGGGGAGTATAATTGAGGAAATAATTCATTTCCCTGGCCGGTTGCAGCCACAGTCTCTCCTGAACCTTCAGGCTACCTGTATTTGCAGCAGAGTCCTCAGGCAGAGAGGGGGATCTGGGACCCTCAGTGAGGCTGCTGCTGCCATGGGCTGGTTGGTGGGAGCAGCTCTGGTCCCTACTCACCTGAGCAGCTCTGACAGTGGCAGCGGCGCAGGTTTGTTCCCTCACCTCTCAATCCTTGCACTGAGTGAGAAGAAGACAAATAACAGGTGGTGAGGCAGGAGCAGCCTGCAATAAGAGATGCTGCGTGTGCTTCGGGCAAGTCCTCTTTTTTCTGTAGTCTGTCTTTTAACTCTCTTTATCCCAATGGATAAAAGATCTCAGACTGTTTTGAGAAGATGCTGTTGTGGAGGATGGAGCTCTGTCTGCTGCCCTTCCGCCAGTGTCTGTGGTGGCTGTCTGCCCTGCAACGTGTGCACACAAGTGCAGTGCAAGGAGAACGCAAACGTGCCGCTCCTGCTTACATCCAGAGATGGGAGCAGCTGGGGTGGTTGTGGCTGCACCTGGGCCCTGTGGCACACGCTTGGCTGGGGGCTGCATCCCTTTCCATTCGATCTCCTCCCAGTTCACAGCAGCGCTCAGTGCTGTGGGTATGCACACATGCATTTGCTGCACCGCTGCACTGGGGGGCTGCTGCTTTTGCTTCTGGAGCTTTTATCAGCACTCTGCATCAAGCAGCTTTCCTCCTCCTGTTTTCTCCTCTCCTTTCTTCTTTGTTTGAAGCTGCCACCTATCCCACTTCACTGTCAGCTTCCCCTTAGCCTTTTTCTGCTTAATTCATTCTTTCACCTTGGTTTCTTTTTCACTAAACAGACCTCTTCCTCTTCACTCTGCTCCCTCTCAACACTGTAGAAGAAGCCCAGCTCCTCATCTCAGTAGGAGTATTCCTGCCAACTGTTTACAAAAAGTAGCACAATACCCAGGCTGAATACTGACATAATTACATACCCAGCCAGAGTGTAGTAAATAATCCTGCTTTCAAGCTTTTGCCCAGTGGAGAGTCTTTTGCCATCTCCTTTAGCCCAGGGGTGAATGTATTCTACTTGGCTGCTTTTACTTATATTCTGGAAATAAAGTCAGTGCAGTCAGTGCACATATATGGTATTGCCATATAAATTTCCCATCTACACATTACGTGTCTGAATGTGCATCGTACATCTCTGCTCCTGGTGCGGGCTGTGAGAATAGTGCTGGGCAAGCATGAAGTCAGGGAAGGAGCAACTGCTGAGCTGTGGTTATTGTTCCATCAGTAAGGAAAGATGGCTGTGGGGTGAAGGTCAGGAGCACGGGGTTGGCTGGCTGCTTGGTTGGGGTGCTGGCTGGTTTCCCAAGGATTTGTGTATGTACAGTGTGAATGCTGACTGTGGGCATTGTCAGCACAGTTGTATTTCCAGTAGTGCTCTGAGCCCGAGTCTGTCTGCAGTTGCTCTGATTGTGAGTCAGTCTGTCTGCAGTTGCAGTAGCCGTGAATCAGTGTCTGCCTGTAATTGTGTGGGTGAATCAGTGTTGGCTTGTTACACTTGTGAGTGCAAGCGGTTTCCTGTAGCGGCTGTGGGTGTGAATCACTCTACAGTCCCTCTGGATGTGTTTTCAAGTGGAGAACTGCAATACTGAGATTAGTTTTGTTTTGATGAGAAACTGTCAGGCAGCTCCTTGTTTTGAAAAATTAAAGCTAAGCTGGGAGTTGGACATGGAGCTCGCTCAACTCCATCACCAGCCTTCTGCAGCAGGGACCCAGATCAACACTTGCTTTTGCGATCTGTGTTAATCTGAACCTTTAAATTTCCTTCCCTTGTGCCTCTGATTTCAAGTGTCCCATTATGCTGGTGTCTCTTGCAGAGCCGCAGACATCACATTTGGTAACCATCACGTGTGCCTTGTACCTTGCATGGCAGATTGATGGAAGGTTGTTTATGGCCTGTGCGGGGTGTGCATTGATAGGGACTGCTCAATGCGCTCCTCTCGGGTGGAAAGCACAAACGGTTTCATGTCTGAGCTGAAAACTGTGGTTCCTCTGCCGTGTGCAGCTTGCTGTGAGCCAGAGCTGTTCCTCTGAGATGGTAAACAGCAAGTTTGATTCACGTAGGCAGGGGTACTGCTGCCTTCTCCTTGTTCTCTGATCCTTATAAATGCTCTGGTAGCTGTTGGGCTTCTGGCAGCATCTATTTAGCACAAAGCAGAGCTAAGCAGAGAGCCAAGTCAGAAATCTGGGCTATGTTAGATGATGGAAGCAGAGCACTCCCGTTGGTCCAAGCTGACAGACAGCCTTCCCTGTGCTTGCTGGTACAGGTGGAGTGGTGCTGGTGGGGCTGGAGTGCTTCCAGTGCATGCTGGCTTGGTGTCTGTGCTGTGCAGGGTGTGTGTGCCTCCTGGTTAGCTCATCTCATAGCAGGGAGCCTGTCAGACAAGAGTCTTGTGAAGCATCATGCTTACTCCACTATTTCCAGGCTCCCAGACAAACAGTGTCTGCTCACTGCAACCCCTGCATCTCCCCCAAAAATAGTTTTATTCAAAGAAACTCTTCTTTTTCACTGAAGCTATTGAGAATTGAAGTGAAACCTTCCCAGCCGGGGACACAAGGCAGCATGTGTATCATCTGCCTTTATTGCTGCTGCACCGTGTGGTCACTGACTGCCCATCCCTGCAGAGAGCTCCAAGCCTTCCCCACAGCAGTGATGACCGCAAGGCTGGTGTGTTGCAGAGGATTGTGGCCAGCTGTTACGTCTGAACAGCTCTGCGATTTTTGAGGAATGTCAGAGGACCTCTCCTGATGACTGGGACCTGGTTTGAAAGGCTCCAAGGCAATAAAGAAGGGCTCTGAGGAGCCACTTGTGCTGTGTGAATGCACCTGATCTGGAGATAAATATGCAGTTGTTGTGAGGTCACCTGCAGTGCTTGGCTGTGCTACTGTGCAGGTGGTGGATGTGCTCGGCACCAGCCGGGTTGAGATAACACTTTTCCCCCAGTGTGGGAGTGTTTCTATCTGAGCCTTTGGATTATGGATGCCTCTGCTTCCCAGCCTGTTTTCCAGCTGGCTTCCCAGCAGTAGCTCCTCTTTGCACATACCCCCTGAGATACCTGATTTGGCAGAGATGCAGAGCAGCTGCAGGTCCTGGGGGCTGTGGACAGAGTGGGAGCTGCAGTGCTCAGCACTCCTCCAGCTGATGCGACTGATAAAGGTATGTGGCACATGGGCACGGCAGCTCAGTGACACTGCAGGTACACCGAGACTCTTGGTGTGGTAACGGTGGGCAGATGTGTCCTATGGGCTGCTGCTTCATCAGTGCCACCTGCATGATGAGCCTGGCTAAGTGAATCAAATTGCTCCCTTGGCTGTGTGTGTTTCAAGGAGGTGGTAATTTGAGGAAGATGCCAGTGTGACTCTTGGAAATGTACCTGTGTGGTTTTGCAGGGCTCTTCACTCTCTATTTGCTCTCCTTTGCTTGCATTCTCCCTCCCTGAGTTGTTCTCCCAAGGTTTTTTTTTTTTGCAAGCTGTACCTTTCATTCTCCACCTCCAGAGCTCTTTCCCTTGTCAGCATGAAACCTGTGCTAATCATAATTTCCTAGGAAATAATTTCAGAATATTTAATGGCTTCTACGATAAGGAGTGCTTGAAAGATTAGGCCCAGCATGCAGAGTCAGGAGATCCCCATTGTTAACGTAGCTACATGGAGATCCTGCTGATCCAAAAGGTGCCAGAACCCATTGGTTCCCAAATCTCATCACAGGAGGAACCAATGTATCACTGTCTTGGGGAGAGGGAAGCTTTTCCAATTCCTCCTTCCAAAACTGCATATCCAGCAGGAAAGCTCTGTTTCTTGGGAGTGTTGTTTTGCTATGGTGCTCTGGAGATTGGGCACGCAGCATGTGTTGGAGAGGAGTGGGCATATTTATGATGCCTTTAGGTATCTGGCTATAAAGAAACCTGCCAAAACCCCAAGTGCACTGAATTGTACTTTAAGTATTGCCGAATCCCAGCTGCAAAATGTTAGCGGGGCTCCTTAGAAAATCTGCATTTGATTCAGCTGTGGAGGTTACCAGCAACTGCAGAATTAGTGATGAATGTGTTTGCTAAGCGTGCCATTAAGAAATGAGCCATGGGCAGATGGAGGAAGGAAGTGCAGAGCTGCTTTGAGCACTTCCCATGCTCATAGAGAAGATGCTGGGAGCTGCTGTGCCATGGGGATCAACTGGGCTCTGGCTAAGCACTATTTAAAACTGTACATTTTAGGGGAAGGAGGAGTGAAGACATCCTCTGCTGAGGTTTCCTTGTGTTCTTCAGAGATGCAGTCCTTGCCTGGGAATGGGGTGACGAACACCAGAGCTGGAAGGAGGTTGCTCCTTCTGTGTCTGCCCCAGTACTGCTTGGCTCAGCATCTTGAGGCCACCAGGGTTCACCACCAGCAGCCCCTCTGTCAGTCAGGAATACCAACCACGGTCTTTCAGACTGGGTCTGCTTTGCAGTCCATGTCTAAGAAGTGTAACAGAGCCAAAGAGTAAGGAAAATGCAGCATAGTCTCTTCTGTCCAAATCCCTCAGGCAAAACATGAAACAAGAACAAACAGAGAGAGCTAGAAAACAGTGCCAAGCTATTTCCCATGCTGTGCAGTCCTTCCTGAGCCCATAAGAGCCTTCTCAGTGAACCAGCCATGCATGTGCTCTCATGCCCTATCTCAGGGGCATCCTGTGTGCTAGAACACTGAGCTCTCAGAACAGGGGGCTGGTGAGGACAGATATTCTCTTAACGCAGGTGTGCAGAGCGGTTTCTGATCCTTAAAATGAGTCTTGAGCATGTGTTTAACTTGATTCAGGAAGCCCTGCTATCCTTGGCTAGCACCTTCAGCGGAGCAAGAAGTACAGAATTGACCATTCATCTCCCATGTAAGGAAAACTGCATGAACAAGTGGAAATGTGGTTGTCTTGAATTTCTTGGTTCAGACAGCCATCAGGTAGCTTTTATCACTTCTCCTGGCCTTATCTTTTCCTGAATTACTTCAGCTGCCCTGTCCCAGTCTAGGTGCATCATCTTCCAGCCTGTGATCTCACCAAATCCAGGAGTTCCTGCAAAGCTGTGAAGCATCTGCTGTGAAATGGGATGGTCCTGATTCACGTGGATAGCACTGGTTAAAAATGCTGGCAGTGCAAATTCTGCCAAAACAAACAGTTCATTGAAATCTGTTGAATGGGAAAGCGATTTCAATAAGATTTCTTTAGCGGTGATGTGGAGAGGGAAGCCAGCAGTGGGTTTTTGCTTTTGGCTGGTGATTGAAGTTGTCTTAGGAAAAAAAAAAATAAATTAAATCCTATTGTATAATCTTCAAGTTAAAGAGAATTGAAAGGAAATCTGTTGAGGAGCTGCTAATTGAAGGAGTTCTGAATTTGCCTTGTAAGAAACATCAACACTTTAGCTGTCCTTGTTCTGTTTTGGAACAAGCTTCCCCAAACTGATGGAGTTTCCCACAGAGCAGATGTTCATTCCCTAATTTGTACTTCATCAGCAAATACTTGAAATCCAACCTGTGTCCTTGCTCAGCTATAGGGTGGCAGGAGTCAGAAGATTGATTTCAAAGCAGGGCTCATTGCCTATGATGGTGCAGGTGTGCCCGTGCCAGGACAGCTTCCCCCAGAGTGTTTGCTTATTGGTAGTGGGAGGGTTGTGCTCCACTTGGTAGCCTTCCACTTGAATAAGGCCCTGAACCTACAGCCAAACTTTCAGCTGCACAGCATCAATCCATGCGCTGAGGCAGAGGCTTTAAATGAGTAATGGGGAGGAAGACAAAGGTAACATGTGAAATATGCTCCATGCAAGGCTGTGGTCAAAAGGAGTCCCTGGCTGTGGCTCTGGGCTCATGGCTGTGCCCGGCTGATGCAGCACCAAGCCGCCCGTGTGTGCCAGGCAGGAGCTGTCTGTCGGGCAGATGTCATGACAAGCTGTATTTATCCTGGCTGTTGCTTGGCAGTACTGTTCTGAGGTGCATCAACATAATGAGATACATAAAAGGGGAAAGGCAGTTAAATGTGTAATTGCATCACAATAAACATAAAACTGAACATTAATGAAAAAATCTGAGCACGCTTAGTGTGGTACAGTTGAACACTCCCACTACCTCGGGCCCTGGTACCCTAAGTTTATGATAATTTCTGGTGATGTCGTTAGCAGAATTAAATGAGTGTCTAACTGTCCAGAAAGACATTAGAAAGAGAAAAAAATGGGTTTTGAGACTTGTGGGTGTCCCTGGGCAGCATGAGTTGGGGAGCTGCTGCCGGGTGATGCCTGAGCATGAGAGGTGAGGAGAAGGAAAGGATGGGTGCAAGAAGCAGTGTGATCACTTTGGAAATGGAACTGTGCAATGACTGGGAGGGATCAAAGCACCTGAGGGGCTGCTGGATGCTCAATGAACATGTATATGTGTACGTACATTCCTGGCTCTGACCCTACAGTGCTGCCTCTGGTCCAACAAATGTGACACTCCAGAAAGAGTATAATGGCTGACATGGATGAACCACTGGGAAAAAAATGGAAGCAAATCAATTGCTTTCCTCCTAGTAAATTAAATCTTCTCTCTTCTGTGCCCCCATGGCAGGTTTTGGAGGCTCGCTTGCTGCTCGCTGCGCGTTGAGGCCATGGCACCGCAGCTCACTGGAATGGCATCTCTCTCTCTTGTTGCCCTTGGACTCCTGCTGTCAGCTGTCCCTGCTGATGCTGGGTAAGGTGGCAAGAGGCAAGGCCTTTGGCCAAGGCTGCTGTTCTTTCTCAGTGCTTCAATATACCTGTGCTGGTACCTGCATGAAGCAGTTCAGGGCATAATCCTGAAAAGATTCTCTGCCATTTCTTTGGTTGTGCTCCTGGGCAGCCTTTGTAGGCATGTAACACAACAGCAGTGACTGCTGCCAGTGCCTCTGCTCTCAGCCCCTGTGCCTTTCACCCAGTGACTGCTCAGTCTTGCACAGCTGAGCTGACTGATTACATTAACACTAGTTGAGCTGTTCTTGCTAAGGACGGTTGTCAGCATCTTTTGCAACAAAACCAGTTTTCAAACATAGCCTTTCTGCATCTCAACTTTGGGTGAGGAGTGTGCTTGGATGATTTTTAACCTGAAAGTGACACACGCACCTCTTTCCAGCTCTGGTTTTTTAAAATACTCTTTAAAAACAAGCAATCTAGAAAACAATACTGCTTCAGCAGTTTGGCTGTTCATGATGTAGGGAGAACTGTGCACGTAGGATCATAGACTCATAGAATGGCTGAGGTTGGAAGGGATCTTAAGCCAATCTAGTTCCAGTGGGGATGTAATGACTTTTTTTCCCAGCCTCTCCTAATTAAATGTGCTGTATAACTGTCTTCCCTGCCTAAAGGCTTTTAATTCATCCCTCCTTGGAGTGTTGCACTGGCTCTGCAGTTTCCCCCCCTGCCCGTGCCACTCCCCTGGTGCCTTCCAAGTAGATCCTATACAGCTCGCGTTGAAGTCAAAACCTCAAATGTCAGCCTAAGTAAAACCACTTTGAAATCTGTAAACTCATTTTTTCCCATTGCTACTGAGTCTCTGTCAGGAGTTCTTTCACAAAAATCTGTCCTCTCGCTCTTTATATTATGGGTAATTTTTAAAGATAGCTTATAAAACATTAATGAATGAGCTTTCACGAGCGTGCTAGCTATTCATAAGTTATAGATGGTTATATACCCATCAGCAGACACGGTTACAGATTGCTTTTAACTGTGACATCCAGTGAAAGCTGGCACAATTGAAACCTCGCTAATTACAGCAGGCACTTGTTAAATTCCTCAAAATCCCCTTTACTTGGGGAAGTGCAGGTATTTCAGATTTCCTTTGTGCTCAAGTCCAGGTGAAAACCAGAACCACTGTTTTGGTTCAGATAAGTATTAAAGGCTGAGATGCTGAGGGGTTTTGCTGTTTCAGCATTGTGATGTTGCATGGGGCTGAGGGATGCATCTCAAGTGCTTCATGGCTTCGTGCAGCTGCTGGAGGCTGAGCTTCCTGCCTTGACCACTGCTCCCATAAGAGCTGGTATTGGTTCACTACAAATCAGACACCAAGAGCCCTTGTGAGATGTGAGATCTGATCCCTGGAGAAACAAACCACAAGTACTTGAAAGCCAATTTCCCACTGTCTTTGGTCACTGATGCAGACAGATTAATGTCAAAATTGCTCAAAATGAGATATTTCAATTAACGGCGACATGCTGAATAACATCGATTCAGCCTCTCTCTAAAAATAACTACAACAGTACTTGCTCTTTTTTTTTTTGGTAGAAATCAGATTTTATTATTCCTTTATCTTACAGGAAAGGGACTTTGTGTTGGGGAATCATTTTGGTACAAAACTCCCAGCAGCTCTGCTACTTGTCACCCTCTCGACCCTTCCTAGAATCTTTACAAGTGGACTCATAACGTCAGAGGTGGCTCATCTAACCAGACGGGATGCTGCAGGATTATGCTTTGAACAGCTTCACTAATATTGCACCCTTCTGCTTCCTCTTCCTTTTTTTTTTTTTTTTTTTTCCATTCTTCTTCATAATGATTTCTCAATCCTTGCACTTCATTTCTGTGGTCATAGCGAAGTCATGGCTGCACCCCATGAGCGGAGCAGAGCTTGATGGGCTGAGTGAGCCCTGTGCTGCTCTCTGGGGCTGCTCCCACCTCCTGAACAGAATTCTAGAGCACTGGTTTGATGGCATTGACCTTCCTTATGCTTTGCACCTAGGAGGAGTTTGTTGGGCTTTCTCCAGTGTTATGCCACGTCCCTTATTTTTTTATTTTTATTCTTTAGTATTTTTATTGCCTTCTCCATCTTTCCTGCATTCTCAGCATCTCTACTGAGTTTTGTTTTGTTTTCTGTTTCTTAGTCTTCTGCCTTTCCATTAGTTTTGTTCCTACCAGTTATTTCTGCTGGGAAAAGCTGTGCTTGGAACTTCAGCACTGATAGATACCCTGTGCTGTTTAAAATCTTTGAAGCAGCCGGTTTTGTGAGGATTCGTAGGCTTCTTTCTGTTGATTGAAAGGGAGACGCAAAATGCAAATGTGCAATTTGAGCCCCTTGGGCTTGCGAAATTGCGCTGGATATTTTGTTTGGTGATATGAGTTTTGTTTGAGAAATGTGCTGCTTATTTTGCTCCACCTGGGGCAGAAAATGCCCCAAGGAAATCATCTTATTTGGGGCTCCTAGGCTTCTTGCATTGAGCGGAGATAGGAGCATGAAAACTCATTTGATTTTATAAACAGGGAAAGTTCAACAAACTGCAGAAATGGCTCACATAGGGTTTTAATGGCAGACTCAGCCTCCCAGCCTGCTTTACTGATTTCCTATTTTTCTGCCCCTCTTTCCTTTTCCCAGGGAAGAATGCTTGGAAATGGGCTGATGTGGTAAATAACTGGCAGCACTTGCTGCGTGCTCCCACAAGGAGAAGACAGCACTTGAATAACCCTCAGATTCCCAGAAGCTCTGTTCCTCCAACTGCCTTTCATAGGGGCAGGAGAGGGACACCAGCACAGGGCACTCCTAGTTGGGCCGGGACATGGATAAGTGTCCTTTCATTTCCATACTTAGAATGTATAAAGAGTATTTCTATTCTGATTGTGGCTTTTTTCCTCTCTCATCTTTTTCCCAAACACACCAGGCTTTCTCAGAAGCATGTTTCAGACGTCGTCGATGACAGCAAAGACAACATCACCATTTTCACGCGCATCCTGGACAGGCTGTTGGATGGCTATGACAACCGCCTAAGGCCTGGACTCGGAGGTCAGTTGGTTGGAATGATGATGTTCTCTGCATCTGTACAGCTTTAGAAATGAGGGGCTGGCTGTACAGATGACTTTTTGACAAAACTGATGGTTCTGGGAGGAAAGCCAGAGCCAGTCTCTTGTTGGTTGTGTTGTTTTGGGTCCGTTGTATCTCGTTGTTTGGTATTTTGTGAGAAGAGAGGCACACGTCTCTACAACTGTTGTGGCCTTCTGTGACATTACATTGGTAGGCCTGTAGATGGAGCAAATATAATTTTATTTTTTTCTGCTACTTTAATAGGCAGTATCATGTCCTAAATTATGACACCACCAGCTTGCAGAACCTTCCATCCACATTGGCTTTGCTTTTTAGTTGCTGAGTTTTGCTGCAGAACCTCTCTCTTGATGTCCTCTCAGCTGCTCCCCAGGTAGCTGTTAGCTGGGGGGATCTTCTATGTGTACTGATCTGGATAGCATGCACTCAGCCAGGCTCTGCTATCTCCTGAGCTTCCTTCAGCATTGCCATTACAGTAGCTGCTGAGCTCTTATCCAAGCACCTGCAGATGTTCAAGTGCTTTAGAAAGCAAAACCCTAGATAGTCACCTTCCAGTGCTCATGGCATGCATCTAGCATGTTGTATGGAGGAAGAATCAGCAGGGAGATGTTCCTTCCTACTGGAGGAAATGCAGTTCCTACCCAGAGCCGGACTTGCCATGCATCTGTCATTCCCTGTACCTCTCACTGCTAAGCTTTCTGTCTTCCTGCATGCTGGTTAGAAAGCAATAGCCAGGAATTGCACCCTGTGTTCCTCTGCGCACCCCCTTGTCCCCACCTTGTCGTGGCCTTCTTGTATCTCTCCTAGAGAGCTATGGCCCTAAGAAGAGGCTATGGAAAATCTGGAAAAGAATGGTTTCTCCAGCGAGCATCCTCACTTCAGATGGGCTGCCATGCCACAGAGCCCAGCTGGGAAAGGGTTACTCTATCTGCATAGGCTATCCATCAGTTTTATTGCTTTTGTTGCTTGTTTCTTTCCCCCAGAATTAACTGCGGTCCCACTAATAGCTTTGCTTCCTCAAGTCTCCCCGATGGCTCTATTGATTTAACTCAAATGATTCTGAGAGGGGACTGAGGGGGCATTTATGTTCACCGTAGGCTCAGTTGCAGACAGCCCTGTGCTAAGTATTAACAAGAGGACTCCCAAGAGCCCCCTTGCTGGGAAAGTTAAAACCTTTCTTGGAATATCTCTGCTCTGTTGCTTTAGATCCTTTAATAATGTGCTTAACATAATAAATTGTCTTTGGAATCTGAGCCAGACATTGCATGCTCAAAGGCTGCTTTCACCTCCGACTTTCCCTCATGGAACACTCTGGCAGATGCAGATAGGAGGTTGTAACAAAGGCTGTGGGTTTGGGGGGCTCAGGCAGAAATGGACCTGCTGCAAACTAGGAGCCATCCTGGGGTGACTGTCAGCAAGAGATGGGCTTCCAATGTCCAAGGTTACGCAAGAACCAGTGGATAACCAGACAGCAGGGCTTGCAGGCTCACTTCTTGGCCTTGTTTTCCTCACCTTGTGTCAGATGTGTTCTTCTGAACCCCCTTGTCAGCACATGGGAGCAGTATGGGGCTGGCTGTGCCCAGGCTCCTGCCCCCGCATCCAGCAAAGTCTTTTCCGTGCCCACTGGGAACTGAGCAATGTTTGTTTAGACTTTGGAAAAGGAGTCTGTGTAAGCAACAGAGTGTTGATGTGGCGACTTCTCCCCTCAAGATAGCCTCTTTGTATTTATTTTCTTATCCCCTCTGCTTCCACCATCTGGTGCCACCCACTCTAATAGCTGCCATGCCAAAGCTCCTCTTCCCACCAGGATGCTGCAGACTCAGACTGAAGCACAGCAGTGCTGAGGCTGCTTAGCACCCAGAACTGCAGAGATTGTGGCCCCGTGCCTGGATGCTACCCCATCCCTGAGATGTGGCTCAGGGCATCCTCTTAAGTGAGGAGTCCTTGCAGTCCTGGTGATTCTTGGATATCTGGGAGCATGCACCAAGCCATGTTGGAAGAAAGGCTGAGGGTCCCTTCTTCAGGAACACCCACAGCAGCGGGGACACAACCACTTGTGTCAGCAAGAAGTCTTCCATGCCTGGTAGGAGGTTTTTCCCCTGTTTCTGTCATGTGCCCTGGGAATGGCTTGCTCCAATGGGCTGAGTCCTCTGTTCTGTCTGACCCCATGACCGCTGAAATGGTCTGGGCTTGGGAAAGGAGTAGCTACATAAATGGATCGTGTTATGGAGCGTGGAGAGGAAGGAACTTTCAGCAGATAACCTGTCTTTCCCCTGGGTAAACACAGTGCAGATGGGTTATTAAGTCAGAAGAGGAATAGAAATGGACCCTGAGGGAATGGAGACATCTGTTGTCATGGCCAACCTTGTGGGAGAAGAAAATCTCCTGCAGAGTGAGGTTCTATATGGGCAGCTTTGGCCTCCCCTCTCAGTCTGGAGTAGTGGATCACATGGATGCTCTGCCTGGCCCCTCAGGGTTGATGAGGGGCATCTATTTATAGCTCACAAATTCTCTTTGCTGCAGGGGCTTCCTGCAGAGAGGGCCTCTGCTTTGAACCTGGTGCTTGCCTTACTGCAAGGGCTGGAGTGAAAAGTTATGGCCAGGAGAAATAGGTCGGACTGGCTGACGAAGGGAGAGATGTCATACACCTGGCCAGGAAGGGTGTGAATGTGAGTGATGGGACACTGAGTAACACTCTGAGAATGACTGATGCACACACAACTCTGTGGGTTCTTTGGCTGCTTACTGTGAAGAGTGATGTTCTGCAGGCCTTGCACGGCCAGCTGGATGCCCACAGCATCACCTCAGAGAGCTCACAGTGCCTGTCGCTGGGTTGTTTGAGGTTCAGCGATGGTCCCTGTGCAGCTCTCACCTCCAGCAGCATTATTTCCATCTGGTAGTTGTAGGGTTTGTTCTGTTGCAACTTAAATACATCGATCCTGTGAATGCCAGGGGAGGAGTAGAAGGGAGGTTTCCAGACTTTTCACAGCCTTTTCCTTCCTTTTAATGCTCTTTGGCAATACCACATGGAGAGTTTCAGCATTTCTTTCCTTTTCTATCAGGAAGAAGACACAGGGGCTTTTCTATAGCTGTTTCCAAAGCAGGGGAAGAATTTATCCCATCTCATCCTCCAAAGCTATCTGCTTTGGAGGAGATGAGGGAGTCTGAGGTGCTGCTCAGTGTAAGTGTGAGGTTCTGAGTGAGTCTGGAGCAGCGTTGGACTAAACTCCCATACTGGGTGGTCAGAGAAGCCTGCACTCCAGAAAGCTGCTGGCCTTTCCTAGGGGCTGCCAAGAAGGGCAGGGTTTTGTCACAAGGAGAAGGTCCATGAGGACGCAGTTATTAAGAGATGGACTTTAAACTTTCTGGATAAGCCAGTTTCTCCAACTGCAATTTAATTGTAATTTGTAGCATGTTAAGCAGCTGGTCTGGTCTCGATGGCTGTTCTCCCACCTGGATGCAGCATCACCTTCAGGGTAATCTGTGGCATTTCCTTGGAAAATCTCCTACTTCATCACTCTGGAGTCCCCAGATGTCTGTCCACACGCTGCCCCATCAGCAGGACCAGGTCAGATGTCTTGCTGGTCTGTGTCCCCATGATGCGATGAGAGTTAGGAGCCTACTGCAGGGCAAGGGATCAGCAAATACAGGCAGTTGGATTAAAGCAATGCCATTCCCTAAGAGCAAGGTATGTGGCCCTTATGATCTCTTCTCTCCTGGTGGCAGGGCATCATCCTCAGGGCTGGCAGCAAGTGAGTCCCCCCAGGCAGAGAGAAAGTCCCAGCTTGTGTCCTCACAGCTGGGGATATTGATTGCCTCCTCTTCTTCATCTCCAGTGGGATGTTGTTCTTCATGCCTTGCTGTCAACATCTTTGTGCTCGCAGTGGGCGCAGTGCAGAAACCCTTTGGCTCAAATGGGTTTCAGGCTCTGCCTCTTGTACAGCACTCAAACCAAGAATGCCCAACACAGGCACCCCGGTGCCTTTTATCTGGCCTTGCTACGTCAGCTCTGCCTTGCAATTGGTTTTGATCTGTAACCACCTGTTAATATTTATCCTACTAATAGATTCTCTTTATTATTCTCTAAGTGAAGTGCACCCCAACTGGAGCTTTCCCTGTTTTCTTTCCATGGTTCAGTGTTTTTTTCTGTTTGTTTTACTGATGGTGCAGTTTGGCATGATGTCTTCTGAGCAAGCAGAAGTCTGTATCCCTCTTTTACCACCCATGTGTCACTGACTCAAGTGCTGATGGCCAAATGTTTTGGTCTTGGGTTCAGAGTGGCTCCATCTGGGTTGACACACTCCTGTGAGCCACTCAGTGCATTACACCCAGTGCCTCTGTCTTCTTGTCATGACCTCCTGCAAGTAACGGCTTCTCAGTTATTACATGGCCATTCAGGCAGAGGGGCTGAGATAGAACGAAAGAATTACAGAAGTGCTCCCTGCAGCTGATTCCAGGAACCAGGGGGGCTGGGCTCTGTCTGCCCTCCAGTTCCTTTTCTCTCCAAGGTGCAGTTTTTCCCGTGTGTCATGAAGGTACCTACGACTCATGTCATAAACATTATCTCGATCTGTTGTTTGTGCAGGAGAAGCATTAGATGACAAGCCCAGCGGTCCATTGTGTTTTGTTATGATTTCCAGGATTTCAGGGCTATGCTTAATCTGTTTCTCTGCCTCAATATTCCACCTCTTCTAAATTCTCATCTTTTCTCTCTGATCTGACTTCATGCCTTGCATTGATTACTCCGGGGAGGAATTTTCCTCTTTCTTAGAGGAAAATCCATGTCTTATCTCAGCTTTTTGTCTTTGTATGAGATTCCTTGATGAGTTTTAATTTGAAGCTGAGACATTGCCTGAGCAGTGATTTCTTCTATTTACCTTTCTGGGCAACAGGGACCCTGCTCTGTCTTGTCAAATTTCTGAAGTTAAGATCTGTGAACAAAAAAAAAAAAAAAAAAAAAAAAA